GCTTCCCTTCTGTTTTTCTTCCTTCGTGGGGTGGAGACGGTCGACTTTCTCGTCCGGATCCTCCTCGGAGTTTCTTTGGATGTCTTCCTGGTGCACGGATGCAACCTCTGGACTGTTTCTGATCGGCCGCATGTTCTTGACAGCGCCGCCTGCTGCGTCTTCTGCGGTGACTTCCCTTAAGGCATCTTGGTAGGACAATTCTTCTTTAGCGAAAAGTCTCTGTTGTAGATCTCGATGCCTTAACCCGCACACGAATCGGTCCCTCAGGCGTTCTTCGAGGTCTTTGAACTCGCAGTGCTTGGCGGCCTTCCGTAATGCGGCGATGAATTCTTTGGCCGACTCACCGGGCCGTTGATCCCTCTGCTCGAAGGTGTGGCGCCATGCGATGACGGATATCTTGGGGTGGAAGTGCTCCTTCAGTAGCTTCTTCAGATCTGCGTAGCTTACAGACTCTACTGGAACAGGTGCTGCAAGGTTTTCTGCGATGTCGAAGGCGTCTTGGCCGCAAACACAACGCAGGGTGGCAGCCTTCAAGCTCTCTTCCCTCACTTGGTTTGCCTTGAAGTAGTTCTCCACCCTGGCTACGTATGACTCCCACCGCTCTGGATGTGAGACGTCGAATTCCGAAAGCCTTCCGATTTTCGCCATCTTCAGGAGATGGGTCTATCAGCCAGCCTCCCCCCGAATGCGCACTGGATTGGCGGGTAGCTGCCGAGTCGACGCCGTTCCGCCGCTCAGGACTCACTTGGGTAAGCTTACACTTCTTCCTTTCCAGGCGGTGTAAGGCGATCCCACCTTCGTCGCCAGTGTTGAGTCCTTGGCGGAAAGTAGACACGAGAAGCAGTTGAAGTTCTCAGTTTTCTTTATTCTGCGTTCAGCTTACAAGTAGATGGCTTCAGCAGCTCCCAAAACCTCCCAGCTTCTTATATAGACATTTCCCGGGTAAATGCAATACTTTTCCCGCGCCAGCACCCGCGCATGCGCACGGCGCTGGCGACAGCCTGTCTGGTCCCGGGCAGCTTTGCACCTGCCCGGGACTGCCTGCAAACGCCCGAGCCGTTTGCAAGGCTCGGGACATAACAGGTGGACTACAAGATCATAAATAAATAATTACAAGTAAAAGGCTTGTAGATTTTCACTGAAAATCTAGACAACGAAACAACAACTTTAAAAATGGAAGTGACTTTCTACACAAATCAGAAGAAACCTGAGAAAGAAGAAGACCAGATCGAATGGAAGACAACTATACCAGAGTAAATATGGGGATCTAGGCCACCAGGGTGACAACTTAATGATTATAAATGGGCCAGTTCTTCCAGAAAATTGGCAACTAGATGGTCTCCTTTAATTCAAGTAACATACACAAGAATGAAGGGAGATCTATTCGATGATTTAAAAGCATTGGTATGGAAGCCTGGTTGGCGTAAGAAGAAAGCTAGAATTAGGTTGAAAAACTGAGGTCTTTTGATTTATTAGAGAGGATTCTAAATTGCCAACTAGTGGGCTAAACGGAGACGTTGAGACAAGGGGAAATTTGATTATTAGATTTAAAATAGTGGGAAAACAGTAAAAAATAAGGGATTAATTTGTTTAATATTGAGGACTTAGATTTACAAGAGAAATGAAACTAACAATTAGGCAATAGGTTTGAATTATTGATTAGCCCAGATAATATAGATGATAGACTTGAATTATGTACATTTTAGATATTATAACTTTTATGAAGTGATACTAAGGAAATTTGGGTTACCCGAAACTCAAATACCATGGATATTAAACGTTATATTGGACTATGGTAATTAAAAACTAAAAATTAGGTAAAACTTAATAACAGGATAGGGATTGTTTATGAAGATTTATTAAGATATGTATAAGCAAAAATGTATTGATAAATGTGATAATGAAGTTTTCACTGAATTTTAATACAATAGAAATTTTCTAGCTTAAATATAATATAGCAAATGTTAAGGGAAACAGAAGAAATATTTGATGTAACCTGAGATATGTATTAAAGATTTGATATTGAACTATTGATTAACCCAATCACCACATTGCCTTCCAAATACTCAAATGTAAAACTGGAAAACCAATAAAATATTATTAAAAAAAAAGATTTTTTGGAGAAAAGGTAGAGAATACATTTCCTCAATTCCCACATCATCTTTTTTTTCTTTCTGAATCATAAATAATTACAAATAAAAGGCTTAAATCATCTTTTTCTTCCTACAGATGTGTCTGCAAAAGTTTCCTTATTAGCATTTTCCTGTGCTATTCTCCTGAAGTACAATTATGTTATTAGCGATCAATGACAATGGAAGGAGTAAACGGTTTATTTTAACCACTTTATTGAAGAAAAACTCCCACAGATAAAAGAAGTGTTTGGGCATCAACCCAGAACCACATTAAAATATCATTTCAGTTAAATCACACTTTCTGAAAAACAGTTAATACTTTTCTTTCTTAATCAGTAGGAAACCAGATAGTGATAGCTACTAAGGAAGAATATATGACTCTACATTGTAAATACAAAAGTGTTTAATCTCCAGAAGAGGCTTTTATTTTTTTTAAAAAAAATTGGCTGATATGTGTTGCAACTTCATATTTAATTGCCTATCTTTAATTGTTTTAATTGGTAGATCATGAAATATCCAGAAAAATCATACATTTTCCTGAATATGTAAGCAAGTTAAAGAGATTGTCATAACTTCTTTGTATCACTTTTAATACTTATATATATTGAATTACATAGAACTCTTCAAAGCAATAGCTTATTTCCAAACTTCACAAAAATAAAATCATAAGGTAAAAGAAAAGGAAATGTTCTGTTTTATATATGAATTATTTACAAATACCTATTTGTTTTATTTTATTTATATTTTAATCAATTTTCTAAATGTAAGAAACACTTATGTGAAGAAATGTATACTGCAATTACATTTCACTAGTAAATCTTTACCACTTGAGCATTAACTACTTTCACATATTTTTTCCAAAGAGGAAACATCATTCCAAAACAAAATTTGGATCCCAACATTCATTTTCTATCACATCTATTATATTGTCATATTTTTGTAGCCTTTATCACATACAGTTTCATAGGAACTTGTACATTCACAGGATCATATAAATTCCTAAATATTTCAATATTGTGGATAGAAAGCTATCTTACCAAGTTGATGAAACAGCTTATGTGCAAGAATGGACTTCCATGGATAGACTTTGTTCCAGTGTCATCTGCAAACAGACCTTGAAAGGCTAAGCAGGGTCAGTCTTGATTAATACTTGAATGGGAGACTGCCAGCAATTTCCAAGGTTGTAAGATAAACTAGGAAGACAACACCAGAAGAAGTCAATGGTAAACAACTTATGTACTATTGCCACTTACCTACAAAGCCATCAAGATCAACCACATCTACATGAAGTGCATACAATGCATTACCATACAATATAAATGGGCGACAAAGACAAAATGATGAAAAAAGTGAGACACTGATTACAGCATAGACAGAAAAATCATATTTAATTATTGGATGGGAGACGGTAGCAAAAAAGTAACATAAACCACTCATGGCTAGAACTTGTTTGCTTGCTTTTCCAAGTGATGAAAGAATAAGTTGTTTTAAAATTTAGTAATTTAGGGTGCTATTAAATTTGTAAGTGCATTCTTGGAAAAGTCAACAAAAGTACCATTTTGAGGATTAGCCAAATAGTAAGTATTTGAGTCTTCTCAAAGAACATCTGAAAGAAGAAGTGACTTTATGAGATAGGTTAAGTGATTTGTGCAATTTAGTATCAGAAGACAACAAAGACAATACTCTAAAGTCTTAATTATGATCAAAGCAAGAAAGGAAAATCTGATTTCTCTTCAAAGAAATTAGCTTCTATCCCTGGATTGTTATTATGAGAGAGATAAGAAGAAAATAAAAGAAAATGCAAGAGATCAATTGAAGAAATAGATTCCACATTGTGGGATCTTCTTTAACAACACATTTACTTAACCTGTCGTGCAAGTCAAGGACAAACCAGTCTACTACTTATAGCAAAGAGAGCAGACACCTTATCTTCTTTAACCTGCCTTTTGATACCAGAGCTACCCCCCCCCCCAAAAAAAATAGCCAAGTAGGGAAATTCTGGTAGAACTGAATGGACTATTATTACAGAATTGTAAAATTGGAAAAGGAAATTTGAAGAATGAAGCAAAATATAGCGATGCCTAAAAGCATTCGTGAAAAGGTCCCCTTTTCATAAATTCTTTTTAATATTGCTTTCACAGGGTTTAATTGTTTGCAAAGAAAAAAAAACTCTCTGAGAACAGTCCAATTGGACAAGAACATGTTCCTTGACATTCTTTCCAGTAGCACATAGACAGGGAAACCCAAAACTATTTTATGGTCACCAAAATTAACCATCCCGTATGCAAAGGGTGAAAGATACAACTTCTGCTGTTGTTTTTCTATTAGCATCTGGAATTTAACCCTCCAGAAATGAGGAAAAGCCTTGCTGGAGTGGACCAATTCAACATCCCCTCCCATCATCTGAGGAAAGCCTATATGGAGGACAATCAGGAACTCTGTCTATTTATTTACTAAATTTACATGCCACGCATCTCAGTCGGCAGCATCTCTCCCGTCAGCAATGACGATTCCTCGCCATGAACTCGTTTAACCCTCTTTCTTTCCCATCTCTTTTTTTCACCTACGCCCAATAAATCTGACTTCGCGACTCTCCGGTCCCTAAAAGGGAAGGACGCCGACTTTTCAGGAATGGGGTTGTTAAGAGGACGCTTCCCAACTCAGCTTGAGCAGGAGGCAGGGGAGGGGAAGGCGGACGAAATTTGGATCCCTGTAATTTAAGATCGGTCAGTCCATCGGCAGCCGCGCAAAGCCATCCAAGCCCCTGGAATAACCCATTCACTACCCCCTCCCCATCCCTTATCCTGGCTCGAAGGGCGTCGAGCTCCTACCGGGTTCCCCCCCCCCCGAGGGCGCAAGGAAGTTCACCTGTTCGCGTCCCAGGAAGATCGAAAGCCCCGAGCGCTCCGCCTCGCTGAGCGCACCAGGTAGGGGCGGGTTGGGGATCCAGGCTATCGGCGGGGAGAGGCTTCTCGGCCAGCAACCGCGGGCGCCCCCTTTACACTTTGGCACGCCGGGATCCTCAGCAGCAGCAGCCTTTCCTCCGCCGCTGTCTTCGAGGTCTTCCCTGTTGGAGCGCGGCGGCTTTTAACCGCGCCCCTTACCTGCCCGCCTTCTCTTGACGCGCCGTGGGTGGCGGAGGGACAGCCCGGGCTGTAGAAAGCGGCGAGGAAAGGAGGAACGTAAAGAAAAGCAGAGAGGAGAGAAAGGGGGCAGACGAGAAGAAGGAGCAGCCCGGGTTAACCTGACGCCCCCAGGCCGGGATACCTGCAGGCTCAAGAAGGAAGGGGAGGAAATCTCCTCGTTTGCCCGCCTAAGCCCGAAGAAATGGTCCAGCTGAGCGCCTCCCAGATGCTGTGAAGGACCCTCCCCTCCCCTCTTCTCCCGGAATTCAGTCGCAGGTTCAGGGGGATTTTGCTGCCCCAATGCCCAGCTTGTCTTGCCTTCCAGGCTGGGAATGTTGCGATTAGCCCCTCCTCACAACACAGCCATTGGGGCGGCTGCTGTCCGCAAAAATGAAAAAGAATACAGAAGAAGGATTGCTGTACAGGTACTCCTCGACTTACGACCACAACTGAGCCCAAAATTTCTGTTGCTAAGTGAGACATTTGTTAAGTGCATTTTGCCCCATTTTACAACCTTTCTTGCCACAGTTGTTAAGTGAATCATAGTGGTTGTTAAGTTAGTAACCCGGTTGTTAAGTGAATCTGGCTCCCCCATTGACTTTGCTTGTCAGAAGGTCGCAAAAGTGGATCACATGACCTTGGGACACAGCAACAGTCATAAATATGAACCAGTTGCCAAGCATCTGAATTTTGATCACATGACCAGTGGGGGTGCTGCAATAATTGTGTTCCTTTTTTTAGTGCTGTTTTAACTTTGAACGGTCACTAAATGAACTGACTTAGGTCAAGGACTACCTGTAGTTACTTAACTTCTCCATAGAATGAAAAGACTTTGGTCCCTTGTGCAAAAGAATAAAGGAAGAAGGAACTGAGATTGGAGGATTCAAAGTCTAGAATGTACAGGTATTCCTTGACCTATAACTACAATTGCATTCAGAATTTCTGTTGCTAAGCAAGGCAATTGTTAAATGATTCGCACTCAATTTACCACTTTTTTGCAGAGTTGTTAAGCAAATCACTGCAGTTGTTCAGTGAATCACAGTACAGTTAAGTAAATATGTCTCCTACTAATGACTTTGCTTGTCAGAAGCCGGCCGAGAAGACCTCAAATGGTGTTTGTGGGATGCTGCAACCATCACTTATAATATTGGTTGCCAAGTGCCTAAATTTTGATCACATGACCGTGGGGATGCTGCAGTGGTTGAAAGTGTGAGAATTGTCATTAATTTTTTTCAGTGGTATTGTAACTGAATGGTCGGTAAACCAACAGTTTGTGATAATTTGCTATCACAAACGATATGCATGAACTCACAGTCCTCACATTCTGTTTAACTGCAGACTGAGGATCAACTGACGTAGAAGGAGAAAAAGAAGCATTCGTACTTAGAAATTCACGCTGACCTACTACATGCCATCCAGAGATCTATCAGTTGGGGCAGATCTACCCTGATCTAAAGCAGTCAACAAAACCCTATAGGGACATTCCTCAATTCAATTCCAAATATTCATTCCTTATTCAATTCCAAATAACAGGGTCCTGGTGTACATCACTACAGGAATGCCAAGATCAAGTACATGAGTTTGTCTTGTAGCAGATACTGAAGAGCAAATGTTTAAATTTGAAACATATCAAGCTCAAATATTAAGACTGGATATTGCCTTTTCTTTATATGCCAAAGAAAATACTAAAGGTAAGTTGAAACATGGTTAATGTAATTTCAGCTCTAGCTTTCCAGAGAGCTTGAAACATTATTAATATATTCAAAGTGTGTTAACGTTTTATATTAAAACATTAGCTGCTTTTGTTAAGATCTCGAGAAAAATTTCAGTGTACCCAATATTAAGAACTCCTAGATGGATTTTTGCTTAATTTTAGAAAATATATTGAAACTGTTGCCTTTTCAACTTTTAAGTTGACTTATGAAGTAATTATCATATAGTTTTCTCTATATATTTCCATTACTCCTAAAAGTGCACAATTTGGTTTAAAAATCCAGAATGTCATTTGGTAAAGAGAAGTACAGCATTATAAGATTTATGTATTTGCTTTCCCAAGTACTTTCAGATAAGGCTTTGAAAGTAATTAAGAGCATCAGTTACATTGCAACTGCAAATAGGAATTACCTATTTGATAATATGCTTTCTATTTGATAATATGGTTTCTTTTAAATGTTTGCCTGCATAAACTTTAAGTAGCTATGCCTACATATACTAATACATTTCTCTCTTTTCAAACTGGGACTATTCTGGCTACAATTCTGGCAAGAGTATTAGAACACCCTATTTGCCTTCCAGATATTTTGGACCAACTCCCACAGTTAATGCAAAAATTGTAAAAAATATAGTACAAAACATCTGGTGTGTACCCAGTTGCTTACCCCTGAGCTATGGTACATATTTAGTGCACTTACTTTGCAAAGAAGAAAAATCTTTTGAACCCAGAAATTAGCTCAAACTGTCATTTTCTTTTGCACAATTCTGTGCAATTAACTAATGACAAATAAGTAATGTCACAGGGGGTTCTCCTGTTGGCAATCTAGCTCCCATAATATATTCCTTAATTTTTAGTTTCAGATATACGTACTTCAGTTTAAAATGATTTCGTAATGGGAGGCTGTCCAAAAAAACCAGAGGTGTCCTTGAAAAAAGATTTCATTTGAAGCAATATGCTGATCTGAGCACATTTGCAGTAAGGTGCAATGAAATGAGGTGATCAGTATTTATGAAGGGGGTTCTTCTTAGAAAGAAAGAATGATCAGAAGAAATTCTTGGTGCAATGTTGATGAAAGCGAAAAAAAAAAAGACCAAATAGGTCTACCCCATGATGATAAGGGTGATGAAGTGTCAATTACTTATCTGCATTTATTGGTTGTCCTCTGGTGGCCTTCTTTAAAATTAACTGTTTTATATTGGCAAACTTCTTTCAGTCTGCTGTGACAATATTGCTAAACTTTACAGACAAAATTGGTCACATTTGACTGAGAGGGAGGTATTGGCTGGGCAGAGTCCTGTGAGATATTTGGTTATTCATTTATGGAGACTTTAAGCCACCTCAATCTGACTCACACTAAGCATTAACTATGGGTCTCGAGCAGGTGCATTCAGACTCATGAGCCAGGAACAGCTGCCATTCCCTGTCTTCTCTATCCATTACTATGACCATCGTTCTCTGACTATGGGCTCCAGGGAATTGACATTTTCAGAAGTCATCTGAGGGTCATTTGAACTTGTGGCTTCTGGGGTAGTGATTATGATTATCTGTGGTACAGATTGTCTGGATCTGGGTCTTTCTGATTGGTTCAAGCTGACATTTTTGAGAGAAGGAATGATGCTAAGGGTTTTTAAAGAGGTAGTGCACCTTTCCTCACGAGGCCATGGACAGCTACAGCCCTGTCTCCAGCCTTCTCTTTTTGGGGAAGATTGCAGAGAAAGTGCTTAGGAGAACAACTAGAGAGAGCCTATGCAAAGTGGATTATTTAAATCCCTTCATGTCTGGGTTCGGGTCCGAGCATCGGAAAGACGGCATGTACCAGCCTTATACAGTAGACCAAACCACGAATAACTTAGGTTTAGACCTAAACTATTTTTATGGAACAGCTATAATAACAGAATCTTATAAGTCTGAATGTGCTCCATCCCTCCCTTACTTTAGGAGGGGGCTTCTCAGGGGACATCTGAGACAGATGAGGACTAATAAAGGCGAATATTTGTAGCTCAGGATTGAAATGAGGGGTCCTTGGTGGTCTCTGAGCTTGCTTGTTTAACGTCATCAGTGCTGGTGATTTCTTTTTTGGTGATGTCACCCACCGATGATGTTACCTAGTTTGGGTAATGAAATTTCTGCAAAAAGACAAGCAAGCTCAGAGAGCATCAAGGACCTCATTGATGGGGAGGCCAGGAGCAGGATGAGGAGGATGTGGAATCTGTTGTTAAACTATCAACTACCTCTACTGTGATGCTCCCATATTGGAATCCCAAGCAAACTGGAGAGCCAGGTCTTTAGTTCTTACGAAAGTAGCAATAGCAATAGCACTTAGGCTTATATACTGCTTCATAGTGCATTATAGCACTCTCTAAGTGATTTACAGAGTCAGCATGTTGCCCCCCAACAATCTGTGTCCTCATTTTACCAACCTCAGAAGGATGGAAGGCTGAGTCAACCTTGAGCTTGTCATGATCGAACTGTTGGCAGTCAGCAAAGTTAGTCTGCAATACTGCATTCTAACCACTGGTGTCACCCTAGTTTATCTAAACAGCTTATCTTAGAATGGGCTACCATAAAAGATCATCTGAGATGTCAAAAAGAGAATAAACACACACTAACATACAGGAAGTAGCCTTTTTTGTTTGTTTACTAGCTTTAGTTCAATATAGAAAAAAATTTGATTCTCTGAGGACAGCTATACTTCTGGCCAAAAGGTGAATGTGGATTCATAGCAGATCAGCACTGAGACTGCCTAAATTTGTTTACTATCTCTATTTGTAATCCCCATGTAACCCATATATACTTCTTTAAAAAGTCCAAACAAGGTTGTCATTTTCTATGAGACAACTAAGAATAGCTTGAAGACTCTTTCTCTTTGCATAGTCACTATTAAGTTTTGGGATCACCTCTAAGCATTTTCTTTTCATCTGAGTCACTTCTGAAACAGCTACATACTGTAATTCTTCCATTTAAAAGATAAAACTGAAAATCACTTATCTGTACATTAACAAAGATTAACAATTTTTTATAAAATAAAAGTTTGACAAGTTATTTGTGGAAGTATTGACGGTAGTTTAAAGTTACTTTCATTGTAGAAAATAAGATGCCTTATGTATTCAGTGTGTAAAATAAATTTTAACAATTGCATTTTTCTAAAAGTTTTTTCAAAATATTTAAACTAAATGAGGTATTTCAGATAATCCTTGCGTGTATAAATTATTTTAATATTGCTAGCACTGATGAAGTTACTTAGTTTGGGTAACAAAATTTCGGCAAGAAAACGACCAAGCTCAGAATGCACCAAAGACCCTAAATTATTTTACTTCTAAAAGATTCCAATAACTGTAAGTGAAATAAGGATGACTATGACTTGGATAATTAAAAATCTCCATAAATCGATATTTGAAATATTTTACAAGAACAAAACATTCCTTAACTTATAAAGCTGATTTTTAAAAAGATATGAAAAAAATGTTGGTTCTAAATTTAAATAGTTAATATTCATGTTTTCATCACATTCAAGTGCTGTGGAAGCTCAGGATATAATCCTTTTAGTTAACTGGAAAAAATATAAAATAATGCATCTCTGAACTTTAAAAAAATTTCAGGGGACAGTAGGGTCAAGAAGCAACAGTGACAACCGAACACGGAACCACTGATTGGTTCAAAATTGGAAAAGGAGTCCGGCAAGGCTGTATACTGTCACCTTGCCTATTTAACTTATATGCAGAGCACATCATGAGAAAGGCAGGGCTAGATGAATCAAAAGTTGGAATTAAGATTGCCGTGAGAAATATCAACAACCTAAGATATGCAGATGATACCACTCTAATGGCAGAAAGTGAAGAGGAACTAAAGAGCCTCTTGATGCGGGTGAAGAAGGAGAGTGCAAAAGTTGGCTTGAAACTCAATATTAAGAAAACCAAAATCATGGCATCCGCCCCTCTCAATTCCTGGCAAATAGATGGGGAAGAAATGGAGGTAGTGACAGATTTTATTTTTCTGAGCTCCAAGATCACCTCAGATGGGGACTGCAGCCAAGAAATTAAAAGACGCGTGCTCCTGGGGAGGAAAGCTATAGCAAATCTAGACAGCATTCTAAAAAGCAGAGACATCACCCTGCCAACAAAAGTGCGTCTAGTCCAGGCCATGGTTTTCCCAGTTGCAATGTATGGCTGTGAAAGTTGGACCATAAGAAAGGCTGAGCGCAAAAGAATTGAGGCCTTTGAACTATGGTGCTGGAGAAGACTCCTGCGAGTCCCTTGGACTGCAAGGCGTTCAAACTGGTCAGTCCTAGAAGAGATCAATCCCGACTGCTCTTTAGAAGGCCAGATCCTGAAGTTGAAACTCAAATACTTTGGCCACCTAATGAGAAGGAAGGACTCACTGGAGAAGGGCCTAATGCTGGGAAAGATTGAGGGCAATAGAAGAAGGGAACGACAGAGAATGAGATGGCTGGATGGAGTCACTGAAGCAGTAGGTGTGAATTTAAATGGACTCCAGAAGATGGTAGAGGACAGGAAGACCTGGAGGAAAGTTGTCCATGGGGTCGCGATGGGTCGGACACGACTTCGCAATTAACAACAACAACAAGGAAAAGAAAAAAAATAATTAAATTGTCTCTGTGGGCTTTAAATCAGCAACTTTCTATTTGCAAAGTAAATTATATAATTATCATGCTATTATGTATATAATTAATGATAAAGCTGGCCATAAAACATATCAGTAACAATAGTAAGCACTGACTCAGTAGAAGGGAAGAAGAGGAGAATTAAGGAGAGAGAGAAAAAAACATACAAAAATAGTATAGATGAATATTTTGTTTCTGAGTTCCCTCTTTTTTTTTTTGCCAAATGACTTACAGTGTTTGTAAACACAAACATTATAAATCATATTCTGCCTTACTACTTGATATATAATATGTCTGGGAGCCATTCTTGCTTAAATTTAAACTATTATGCATATATATTGTTAATTCTGCCATTGTTGTGCATTCTCCAAGTTTAAGTTCCCAATCAGATATCATTGGTGCTGCATCCTTTTTCCAATGTTGGGCAAAGCATCTATCTTAATAAACTACTATATGATGTTTTTATTGATATATTCTAGGATTATATTTAGTAAAAAGAATGTTGATTTCATTTTATGTTTCATTTCTAAGATTCTCTGAATGGTGCTGTCTATGACTTTCCAACATTTTCCAACATTTATTTAACAGGTTTACCACATGTGGTAGAATGTAACTTCTGTCTCATGGCATATCCAACATTTCTTATTGTCTGATTTGTTTATCTTGGCAACTGTTGATGGAGATGTGTGCCACCTGTAAAACATATTGTATCACATTTGTCTTATATCTGGATTATTTCTAGCCAGCTTTCTTCTGTACACTGATCTTGGGATACTCTTTGGTTTTCTGAAGAACTCTCAGAGATGAAAAGCCAAAAGTGACATCTACAGAGCATCATAGGAGGAAGACAAAGAGTGAAACTGACCAAACACAAGTAAAAAAGATGAAAAAAACATTGCTATTTCTCCATCACTTTTGCATCTCTGATAGCCACCCAGCGGCCTTGTTTAGGGTGGTCCAGTCGTGATCAGGGGAGGGGCTTGGGCCACAAGATCATTTCCAAGTTCATGGTGGTGCATATTGATGCTATCTGGCAGACAAAGTTGTTCGGATTTGTTCAGAGTTGGACTTCCACTGGATAAATCTTAATGAGTTGGCCTTGAAGACCATTCGAAAGCTACAACTGGTTGAAAATGCAGCAGCATAAGCAGTAACGGTGTGCCTAGTGCCACCACTGTTATGTAAGCTGCACTGATTACCAAATAGCTTCTAAGTGCAATTCAAGATGGTCTCAGGCCTGATGTTTATTCTTAGTTCAATGACCCCTGTTCGTTTTGTTGTTTTTGCTCTGTTAGATGATTATTACATTCTAGGTCTGCTTGTGAACTTTTTTGATGCAACTGATTGGGTACTGTGTGTCACAGAATTTTTCTCCAATTTCATCTAACTACAGGACTAATGTGCTGTGACAACTCCATTTTTATGGCATGTATCCATAATATTATCCTGAACCATGCATGAGACAAGCTTAAGGTTGTTCTTAACTGTTCCAGTGTTAAAGTAGGATTTTCCCATTAAGCTAATAACAAGACACAGCAGTTCAAAAGTACATAAAATCTTGTGCACTTTGCCAGCTGTTCTGTTGGTGCAGCAGAACACTTTACCAGTTTATCTGTTGGTGGATGGCCTGTAGAATGTGGGATCAGCATGGTGCCTATTGGCTTCTTCATGCTGGCATAGTCATCCTCTTCCCACCCCTGCTGCCAACTATTTAGATGTTGAGCTTTTGCAGACAGTTAGATCTGCAGCCACTTGCCTTACCATATTCCCAAAAGATCTCAGTTTTGATGCTTTTTCATAACTCCACACTTAAGCTGCTGAATGGATGGATACATTAAATTGTCCTGTCTTGCTTTACAGTGCAGCAATGGAGAAGGTGGGTCTACTAATCAATTTACAACTTGAAGAGGTTAGGGGTGAATGCATTTAAGTAGAAAAGCCAGATGTTTCACATTTGCTGAACATGCCCTGCCCATGTGAAATCATGGCATTGGCAACATCCATTTGTGATCATGGCTTATCAACACCATTCTTCAGCAAGCTAAAATGTAGATAATAGATGCAGAATAGAGTTCGCCAATGAAGCTAGCAAATGTTATGCCGAAATACTTTTCTGTTGTCCAAGGAGAGATAGGCAGCCCTTTAATTCAGGATTCTAGGAAAATAATGAATGTTTTGAAGTCTATTACTATATAAAGGTGAGTGAAAGACACAGGGTGTTGCAGAATATTATAAAAAAAGTATTTTTTTAAGCAGCTGTGACAGTGCAACCAAAACTCTGCTTGACCACACCTTCTGGACACTCCTGAAAAGGCCTAAGATTTAAATCCTGTGGCTGTTATGAAGTTGATTTTGCTTGATTTGCAGTAGCTGATTTTCGTTATTAAAGCTTCTTTCCTTTTTAGAATCAAACAACTGCATAAACAACATCCACATACCATTCAAAAAAGATGATCAAAAACCCCCAAAAGAAACAAAAAGACCAAAACACCTTCTTACCAACAATTAACAGCCAGATGCAGAGATTAACACCACGATTAACAGAAGATCAACAATATAAAATGACAGCAAACCCCATTCCCTTCTAACACTGATGATGGTACCTAATTAGGTAATGAAATGTCTAAAGAAAACAAGCAGGCTCAGAGAGCACCAAGGACCTCACAGTTCACCCTGAACTATACATATGCTCTTCTATCAAAAGCTATTGCGTATCTATCTGATCTAGTCATTGAGCTAGTCTGTGACCATAGTCTCTTCTGTGGTTAAATCTTGGTTGAGTTTCCAGAGTGATACTTACTTTATACAGTTCAGTTGGTGAATCTCTAACTGACAACATGATACAACAGAGAAGCCTTTGGATTAAACTTCTTATGTACAGCTTTAGTGCACATATTGTTTTGCCTCAAATATTTATTTGCCTTTACTAATAAATAAATAGCCTAACTGCTGTATTTCCTGTTTTCTCTGTGAACTATTTAAAATGTCCTATTCAGGTCCAGTGCTGACTAAAGAGGTGTAACAATTTTATTTGTTGATGTAATCAATCATTACCTTCTTCTAAAGCCATAAATGAGGAAACGCTTCCTATTTCATAAAGTGTGAACTACTCATACTGTATGTAAATTACTATTCTATTTATTCATATGTTTCATAGCAGAGTTTCACTGCTTCATTTTTAGTTTCTTATTTCAATGCTAATATTTAATATTACATTTTGTTAACTGCATTTAAAAACATTTGAAATGTCCTTCCCTCTAGATAGATCATCTGTTTTAACTTAAATTAAGGCACAAATTACTATAATTTCAGTGGAAAGATATGCAGTGTTTTCAAGAAAATTGCCTTGAGTCTTCATATTTTGGGGGAAAAAATCCATGTTTAAAAAAGACTACAACTGATTACCATATACAGTGGAAGATATAATAGTGATCTAATTATGAATAGAGAAACATTACTATATTTTGTTTGAACTAAATTGTATCAATTTTATTCTATATGTTACATATAGAAGGATGCATCCATGGTGCTCTGTGTTCCCTTTCTTTTGGCAGAAAACATTTATCTTCAGAAGCATAATTTCCTTATATTGGATGTTATAGCAGCTGCCCCCAACCTTTTTGCCACCAGTGACTGGTTTTGTGGAAGACAATTTTTCCATGGAGCTGGGGGGGGAGGGGAATGGTTTCTGTTTCACTGGTTCATCCACCACTAACCTCCAGCTGTGCAGCCCAACAAACCACAGACTAGTATCGGTCCATGTCCAAATTAAAATTTGTCTAAATTAACACATTTTGAATCTAAATAATATATGTGAAAAAGTCTTAAATGACTCAGAGATAGAATTGGTAATTTCACAGAAATGTGTCCTTGTAACCCTGAACTTCCTTATCAAATTAATTCCTTACCAAATTTAGCTCCTTACATTCCAAAGTGGTAAAGTATAATCCTTTTAACCTAATATTATTCTATAAATACTATAGAATTTTCTGTTAAAGATATAATTATGTAATTTTAAAAAGAGATTAGACAAATTCATGAACTTCTTCACAAAAGACACTCGAAAACATGCATATTTGAGAGGAAGGACGTATCAAAAAAAGTCAAAATGGCAGCCACAAACATATGATCAAAGCTTTATCCTCTCAGTGCATGGGGGGAAAGGGACAGGACTTTGATTGCATGATTGTGGCCTCCTCTTGATTTTTATGAGCCCCTTTCTGTGGAAACTACTCAGCCTTGGACCATTTTTCCTTCTTACCTGTTGTACCCCCACAAATCTTGTTCTTATCTCAGACCTACTGATAATTTTCCACTCCATTTGGTAAAAGCTCAGTTTCAATTTCTGTTACTATATTGTATTATTTAAAAGCTCTGGAGGGAGATGCTTTATAAATCTAATCAATCAACCAATGGTAGAGGTGGTGATATCTCAGTTCCTTTTATATTCTAAATGACCATATTATATTCTGTGGGGAAGGCAAAGGACTTTATATTAATAATCTATCTCCTGGAACCATCTGATCCAGCAGGATGTTCTGATATATAACTATAATTTTACATGTATCGTTGTGTTATAATCATTTTAATTGGATGAAGACCTTAGTTTGAAAAGCATATTCATTATTTTTCACATTGGGATATCTTATTTTTTGGCAATTTATGTCTCCTTAGTTAAATATTAAAAGATAAGTAAATGCTTTTTTTTCAGATTTGTCTCAAGGTATACCTATATACCAAGAATCAGTGTACTTAAGGATCACAGGACCTTTGGGCCACCAAATAAAATACAATAGAGTGCAACTTTAGTTGGACAGACTAGTCTGAACAAACGTTTATATAGCAAATAAAAGGAAGGACATACAATAGGTAAATCATTAGAGGAATTCAGTGAATTTCATTGAGTTTTGCTTAATGTATTCTCAACCTTTACAATGTTGGAAAATTGCAGCATGCTCTGGTTTGCATTTTATAGAAGTTATCTTAAATATCAACAATGTATAATTCCTTTTGAATCACATTACTAATCTGATAGCTTTTGATATTAAGATTTCAATACAACTGATATTTTTCAGGCTATTTATCTTTTATTTTCAATAGTATGTGTGAAAGTAATAAGAAAACAGAGTCACTTGTTTCTTGTCACTTGACGAAAAAGAAAGAAGGAAAATGACTAGGAACAGTTCTTTACAGTCTTGAGGCATGTGGATGACCTTTGTCTCTTCTTTCTTTTTAACCGTCAGTTAACTTTTCCCTGCTTAATCTTCCAGTCATTCAATCCAGTTTCTACACTTTTCAGGTAAAATAGATTCCGTCTCACTTATAGCAATATTTGAAGAAGAATATATTTTTATGTTGGCCAATAAGATCACAAATTCAATGTAAAATACAACATTGATCTTCATTTTGGGCTAATAAAGAGTTTTTCAAGTTTTTCAAACTTGGCAACATTAAGGTTTTTTTAAATTTCAGGCAAAAAATATTGGCAACTTTAAGATATGAGCCAGTAATTCTGGGAGTGTTTTAAATTTAAAGTTGCCAAGTTTTGAAAAGCACTGAACTAATGGATACACTATAATTTTGACTGTATGCTGTGTGTGCTCTTGCAAAATATTTGCATGGTGTGGTTGTTTCACTATATTCACATGAAAAGTTTTAATGAAATATCTAAAAAGTCACAAAGCCTTTTAAGGCTGATACACTTGGAGAAACTCTGTTCAACTTTTCTCATCTTTGTTATGTTTATAGACGGGGGGGGCAATTCATTTATTTGCTTATTAGATTTGCATCCAGCCTTTCATCCAAGAGTTCATGATATCTTCCATGAGAATCATCTTTTACCTCCACAGCTGCAACCCTGTTAGTTAGGATCAGTTGAGAGAGAGTGACTAGTCCAGGGGTAGACAACCTTGGCTCTTTTATGACTCATGGACTTCAACTCCCAGAATTCCTGAGTCATAAAAGAGCCAAGGTTGCCTACCCCTGGACTAGTCCAAAGGGACTTAGATAATTTCCAAGGCTGGGAGTGGTTTTGAACTTAGTTCTGGTCCAATGTCTTAAAGCTAATATTTAAGTAGAAGCTATTGAAAGTTAAAATATATCATATTTTTACAATAATAAAATAAAAATGATAGCATTGGAAATATGAACTATATTTTTAAGTATTGAATACTATCAGTTATATGGAACAGGAAAGAAGATCAGTGCTAGAAAATAAATACAATTACTCAGTGCTTTTTTTTCTAAAAAAAAAAAAAAGATGCCGAACTCACACACGTCATACAACCCGCTTTGCCTACCCTACAAGGTTCCATCCAAAAAAGGTGCCGGAACTCTGTTCTATGAGATAAAAAACGCCCTGCAATTACTTACACATTCAACTGGGTGCAATTTTCAAATATTTTGCAGACAAAATGAACTCAGATTGTCAATGTGACTTTTCATCTGTATTTCTGTACATAATTATTTGCAAGTAATCTCTTTTGAAAGCAAAACAATTGGATTTTCTTCTGGAATCACATTGCGGGTTGTAGCTTAAGGATGGCCAGTCTGCAGACCTCAAAAGCTTGACATAATATCCATAATTTTCCCTGGAACCTTCTCTTAACTTACTCCTCAACCTACTGTAGCTTTCCAATGGAGTTTCAAAAAAGTTCAAGGTAGTTTCCATGACTTCGACCTATGTTCCACCCTTTTTTTTTACATACAATGCACCTAATAAAAAGAGTAGGTCTTCTGTCTCCTGATTGCAGATGCCATCTTGATTGAAAATGACCCAAAGGCAGAAAAGCAAATATTTAGGATAAAAGTAATATTTGTGTAAATATTATATCCAGTAGAATATGGTTCAGTTAGGTGAAAATGATTTACTCTAATGCTTGCAGAATAGGCACAATTTAGATAAAGTTAAATGACTAAACAATATTTCACAGAAATTGTCCATTTTAATTTCATTATGTGCATGTCATTAAATCTACTTATCACTTCTATCAAATCATTATGACAGGATCAATGTACAAAAGTCAGATACAGATTGCAGCATTTTACGAGGGCAATTTGGAAATAAACCTCTGTTTGGTTATCAATGACAGACACTCGCAGATACAGAACTTTCATTATACACATTTGAAAACTACAACATTACATTACTTTTTGACATAATCGCCATTCAAATTGAGGCACTTATTATAACATCTTACAAGGTTTGAAATTCCTTAGTAGTAGCCACTCAGTGCCAAATCTGGGCTATAGGGAGGGCGGTGATCAAAAACATTCCAACGGAACTGCTTCAAAAGTTCTTGGGTGCCATAGAAATTCCGCCAAATGTGAAGATGCCAAAGGAGTACTACTAATGAAGTTCCTAAGGTGTGGTTCACCATCAGTTCAGAAGTCTACTGTGAAACGTTACGAAAACTCAGCGAGCCATCCATAAGAAGCATTGGGGCATGCTGACTTCCGGTGTGGTGTTGGTTCATGATAACGCTCGTCCACACACTGCTAGATGCACTCAAGAATTTTTGAAGCAGTTCCGTTGGGATGTTTCTGATCATCCCCCCAAAGACCAGATTTGGTGCCGAGAGACTACTACTAAGGATAACCAAATGGAGGTTTATTTCTGAATTGCCCTCATATTTATGCTGACATTTTTAATTACATGTACATGCTCTGAAAAGTGCCTGGTGTCTATGATTTTCCATGAGGTACAGTAGGCATTCAATGCAGATTCTATTCCTTATATGAGACAGTATACCTGCAGAATATATGTGCAAAGAAAAGAGCATCTCTTTCATGTTTTTAAATAGAAAATATAAAAGATTAATACTTGAGAAATTGTAAAATTAGATCACACCAACTTCAATTCTAGGAAAGGAATTCTCTGCTTGTATGCTCAGACTATTTGTTTTTGCTTGGTTCCCATTAGTGCAAATGGGGATGATTTTTTACCC